TCCACCCCACCCCCTACCACCCCCCACCGGCCTGTTTGCTTGTTCCGGGCTCTGGCGGCTTTTCCAGTTCAGCGCGGGCGAGCGGCAGAGGTGGAGATGGCAGCCGCCCTGCAGCGCGTGGAACGGCTGTCCAGTCGGGTGATTCGCGTCCTGGGCTGTAACCCGGGCCCCATGACCTTGCAGGGCACCAACACCTACCTGGTGGGGACCGGGCCCAGGTAAACGTTTCCCCCTCCCAACCCCGCATCCTACACACCGACCCGCGGGACGCACGGAGCTGGGGCTGCGATGGCTGCTAGCCGCGGGCGGAGAGGCTGTCCGCCCGCAGCCGGCACCACGGCGTCCCGCGCCAAGCGGGCGGGACCACCCCCAGATCACGACCACCCTGGGTGGTCAACTCTCTAGCTTACAGCTGGCTAATGAAAAAAACACTTCGTGGTTTTGAGACCTAATTTACTTTGCATGATATTGAATGCCAGGATGAGCGTGTTTAAGCTGTTGAGAAACTAGAAATCGCCCGGAGTTAATCCAGGAGAGCGTTTACTTTCCACACCTGACTTTCACTGGTGTTTGGCCCGGAGTTTAACTTCGCTTCGCAAAAGCGATTCGTTGTGCTGAGGCCTTTTTCTTAACTCAGCAGCAGAGGGCAGGATTTTCTTGCTTCAAATTGCTCGAGTCTGTTAAAGAGCCCCCTAGCTCTTGGGAAAGAGAAGCTAACTTTGTTTTTGTTGCTGTTGTGTGGCCTTATTTAAATTACTCTGCGGAGGGAATAGCCTGTCTGCATTTCTAAGATTTTTCTCTTGTTCAGATGCATTCTATTTTAGTGGAATTATGCAGACATGGGAATGTGTGATTTACTGCACAATAAGTGCATTGAGCAATTTTTGTATAGTATTTAGTCTTTAGTATACTCTAGATAATAGAAAATGAAAATAAGATATAGTTCCGCTTGAGCCCAGAATTTAATTGTTCAGCCCGGACGTGTTACAATTAGTAAAATATAGTTGATTGGTTTAATTAGTATAGTTTACTGGGCTTTCATTCGAAGTATCCACTGTATTTGCCTTTTTCCAGTAAATCATAGTTTTAGAAGCAACAGGATGGAGCGTCTGGAAGTAACTGCACATCAAGCAGAAAGCAACAAGTTGAGTCCAGGGTAAACAAGGCAGGGTCAGAGCTTTGAGCTGCTTCCGGAATCGAGGAGAACAGAAAATTAAGCAGAAAAAATACCTGATATCTGGCGTAGAGTCTGGGTTAGCTGAGACTCCCTCACCCTAGGAAGTCCATAGATGTGCTCTTCACTTTTCAGTGTGTCATCGTTAAACGAGCTCTAAAAGACAGTACCTAACATGAAAATTGCATGTAGTCAAAATTATCCTAGAAAGTCTCTCAGGAAAACACTATGTTGGAGATCAGTGTACTCTCTCTGTAAGTTCAACACAGCCTGCTTTTCTCCCAGCGGTGAGACAGATGGCAGGTTCTGTTTGAAAACCAGATGAAGAGGTTGGCTTAGGTTTAGGGGCTGTGTTGTATGAAAAATCCATACTGTGTCTTTAAACACTAGAATCACCCTCGGTGTGGCAAGGTGCTGGTGCTAAAAGTCATGATGAACCTGAAACTGATTGAGGGAAGAGCAGATTCACCGCCTTCCATCTTACACTGCTTAGACTTCTACCCACATAAGCTTAGGGAGTGGAACGGCCAGTGGAATCACTCATAGATGAGAGAGAGGTGATGGTGAACCCATGTAGTTGAACTAGAATAAGTTAATGTACAGATGCTGCTGCTCTGCTGTATAAAGTAAATGCTAGGTGGCTAGAAATGAATATTAGTTGGGTCCAAGTAAGTGGTTCTGATGATGGTATCCATCTGTTCCACTAAGATCACAGGTGCCTCCTGTATCACTAAACCCAATGGCATTTTTCCATTCCCATCTCATTTGAACTTCAATATCTTTTGATGCTATTGACCACTCCCTCCTTGATTTGCTTAACACCACATTCTCCTGGTTTCCTGTCACCTCTCTAGCTACTCTTACACAATTTCCTTTATAGAATCATCCTCTTCACCAAGTATTTTAAGTGTATGAGCCCTTCACAAGGCAATCCTACTCTTTCTCCTGTTCCCATTGTTATGTTCTTTACCTAGGGGATCTTGTCTACTTCCTTGGCTTCACCTGTTTTATTCATTAGTAACTCCCAAATTTATAGCTCCAGTGTAGACAAATCCAAGCTTCATCTTCAGACTAGGATAGCCAACTGGTTTCTTAAATCTCTAGTTGGAGCCTCACAGCCACTTGAAACTCATTGTTTCCCACTGGTCTTCTTCCAGTCATCCAAATCTTGGTAAAGAGAACCAACCCCACATTTGATCAAGGCAAATACTTACGTACTCTCCTTGACATTTTTCTTTGCTTCCTGCACACACGTATCCAAGCCATTAAGAAGATCTCAGCATTTTCACTGCTGTCACCCAGTCCAAGCCAGTACAACTCTTGCTTACGCTTTTAAAATAGTCAGACTTCTCTGCATCTACTTTTGTCCCTGTTCAATACATTCTCCCCAACGTAGCCAAAGGAGTATTGTGGGGTTCTTGTTTTTTGTGTTCTGGTCTCTTATCCTGCAGCAGGGTAGCCTAGCTTATTCACTGGCTAGTTTCAGGGTTCCAGTGGCGTGAGAGGAAGCACTGAAAGACCTGGAGGCAGAGGCTTACGAATGGCAAGCCATCACTTTCATGTCGGTCTGTTTTCAGTAGGAAAACCCAGTGTAAGTCCATACTCAAAGGATGCGGAAACAGACTGCCATCCTTGATGGGAGGAGCTTCAAAGTGACATTTCAAGGGACATTATTATACGTAGGTGAAACACGAAACTTTTTTTTCCTTGCAGTATGCTTAAAATGAGGTCTGTTTGTAAAGTAGTAATACAACTTGGTCTTGATTAAGTTGCCCTTTAATAAAACACCTCTGGTATTTTTTAAAAGTTTTTGGAGACATGATATTTCTTACAGACTCTTTTAAATGTTATTTGATAAAAAAGAAAGCCTTCATTCATAGTAGAAACATTTCTAAGTGCCTACTGTGTCTCAGGCAATATACTAGGAGTCTCCTATGGACTTGGTAGAAAAAATACACACATAACAATAGTTTTGCTTTCACTTGGCTTGGCGAATTGTAGATACCATAAATCAAATAGCCCCCAGGGAATTCCCTGGTGGTCCAGTGGTTTGGACTCTGTGCTCTCACTGCCGAGGGTCTGGGTTCAATCCCCGGTTGGGGAACTAAGATCCCACTAGCCTCAGTGTGGCCAAAAAAAACCCCAAAAAACATATAGCCCCCAAAATGGATATATAATTTACCGTTTGACGAGGCCGATGAAGAGTAAGTCTAGAGTTCTGGAACCGTATAATTAAAGATTTTAATCTGGTCACTGTCGAGAGGTTTCGTAAGGGTGTGGCAATTCAGTTGACATCAGAAGTCACAGAAGAGATGTGTCTGGCTGCATTTAAAACTTTGTGATTCACCAACGTAACAGAGTTGGATTTTTTGGAAAATGGAAACTAGAAGGCCTTGTGATATTCTGATCTCCGATCTGTCATCACCCTGAGTCAAGCTTCTCTCCCATCCCGGCCACATGGGCTCTATCCACTCCGCCTCAGAGCTTTCATGCCTACTTTCCTCTCTGTCTCCCACTTATCCTTCTCTTCACCCAGCCAACCTCACTCATCCTTTAGAGCTCTGTTAAAATAACGTTTCCTCAATAAAGCCTTCCCTGACGCTTTACACTGTGGTAGGTTAATGTAGTACACTGCCTTAGCATTCCATACTTGTCATGGCCCTTATGTCAATAATAAAATGATTTTCTGTGTGTAGGAAGAAGCTTAATGTATTTCCCCAACTCCACTCCCCACTAGAATATAAATTCAATGAAGGCTTATTTATTACTATATCTCTGGCACCTAGCACAGAGCCTTGTACATAGTACAGTAAATATTTGCTGAATGAATGAGCATTCTCTTTTTCCCTTCATTTGCTCTGTTAGGATTCTATTACTGCTGGATAACTGCAGTTTTAACCAGTCTTCCTTCCTCTTTCTGATCAGCCCATAGATGCCAAATGAATTTCCCTAAAGCACTCAGACTTACTGTGATGCCTAGTACAGAGGTATTCAGTAAATATTTAAATGGACCAATAATAGCCAGATCTTCCAAAGAGTATTTCCACATTCCTCCTCTGCCTAGAACCTCTAAAAGATGGAGTTTTAATCTTTACTATTAAAATTGTAACTACCTTGAGGGTGAGTATACTATTTCTTCTTAGTAGGAAAAGGCAGTCTAGTGGACTAGTTGGGGTTAAAACACTGGGCTCTGATTATCACGTCCCAGTACCTGGCTCATGGCTGTGGACAAGACAGTTGATTCTCTAAGCGTCAGATTCCTTATCTATACAGTGAGAGTTGTATTGTACCCACCTCAGACGGATGTTATGAGGATTCAGTGAAATTTAAGTGAAAATTCATACCTAAAGTACTCAAATTCTAGAATGGGGAAAGCACATCAGCTATTACTTTACTCACTTTTTCCTCCCTTATAACATCCAGACAATACTGGGTTTATAGTAGGTGCTCAGAAAGTACTTAATGATTTTGTAAGAGGGACAGCAAATTGACAGAGACCATTTAATAGCTATCTCAATGTTGATAGAAAATACCTAATTGAGGAAGTTGATGACACTAACTCCCATTAGTTGAAGAATTTTTTTCTCCGTTCACGTAGCAGATTGTTACTGCATGCCAGGCCCTGTGCTCTGGTGAATAAATTGGTCACAGACCTGCACAGATTGTTCTGCACTCTTCTCTTGTCCCCTGGATTAGCATAACTCACATTTGCAAAATGACATGCTAAGGTAGGGTATTGTCTGGGCTGTGAAGGACAAGCACACCTAGAGATGACAGTGTCTGGTCCTCTGCACTAATTCTTCACAGACATCATTGACAGACTTGCTGTTGGTTAAGGTGGGAACAACTTTCTTTTCCAGTTTACAGCTGAGGTTGTACTTACGCCACATGAAGAATGATTCTAGGTGCTTCCCCTGTAGTCCACTTCTTCCAGACACCCACAGTGTGTCTTGAATGGACAAGTGACTGTGAAACAGTCCCCCTAAAGCCACGTTTCCTTACCGAGTTTATGACTAATCTCTCTATCCAAAACTCTATTCCCTTTGTTGTCCCCTCTGCCCTCAGTCCTGTGCTACCTAAATATTCATCTGCCAGAGTCAGATGACTAAAATTGCTGTAGTCAACAACATCGTTCATGTACTAAGATTGCTGTTACAGATGTCATCATTAACATACAAAGTCAGGTTGTTTTTCCAGGGCAAGATGGGTTTTTGTCTTGCAAGAAAGGCATGGCACATAGCAGATCATTCATAAACAGTTATTGATGAATTAATACACAAATAGAATGACTGAAACTTTGCATCAAGATGAATCATCTCTCCCCCAGCCTGAATTCGGGAGGGATTCCTGTGAAACAGCGTGAATTTAAGAAGTCAGTGAATTGGTTCTGGAGGAGGAAAATGTCACCCTGATTTCTTCCAAAAAACTTCAGAGAAAAAGACCATCATCCCATAAAACAGTGAGAAAGGGCAAACAAAGTAGAAGGTGGGTTCAGAACCACAAGCAGAAAAAGATAACTAATGAGGTGGTCTGAGTAGAGAAAGGAAGCAGCTCAGACACTCCCCGGCACTTCCCTGCTGCCTGCACTTTCACATAAGGCAGCCTGTGTAAAACTTCGGGGATCGGTTTTGCGTATAGTGCAGAAGACTGGGTTGCCTTAGGGATACCATCAAATCAGATTCTTTCATATCTCCGAGACATTTGAGGATGTTGTAAAAGATCTCAAAGGCAGCGTGGATAAAAGTGCGTCTTCTGGCGCCAGAATACCTGGGTGCAAATGCTGCTTCTGCCCTGTCTTTGCAGAGTAACCTTGGGCAAGTTGCTTAATTTCTGGATATAATAATGAAATGCCTACTTCAAAACGGTGTTACAAGAAATACAATTGTTAAAATATGTCAGGTCCTTGGAACGGTGCCTTATTTCTTTTAAGTGCTATGTAAGTGTTGAATACCATTGCTATTATTCCTTGTTCAGACTCACATTTATCTAAGTTTTTTTCAAAGAACTTTCTGAAGGTGAGATGATTATAGTTAAGCTGAAATAACATACAGCTGGTTTTCAAGCACGTTGGAAGCAAGGCAATTTGTGCAGTTTCTTAAATGTAATGTAAATTATCTGTGTGAGAAATATGCTGATACAAACTCTGTGTTCCGACTGTATGATTATTTTCCATTTAATTTTCAGGAGAATCCTCATTGACACTGGAGAACCAGCAATTCCAGAATATATCATCTGTTTAAAGCAGGCCCTGACAGAATTTAACACAGCAATCCAGGAAATCATAGTGACCCATTGGCACCGTGATCATACCGGAGGCATAGGAGATATTTGTAAAAACATCAATAATGGTAAACAGAAAACATTCGTTAAGCTCATTGAAGAAAACTGTGTCTTCGGAATAATTTACTTCAGTTAACAGAGCTAAGTAAGCTAGTAAACTATTTACTAGCTTACTTACATATTTAAATGGTACTTTCAGAAATTACTGTAACTTGAACACTATCCCCAGTTTTAACAGAGGAGGAAAGGAAAGGTCCTATTTTCTATTTCAGATCTCTTTTCCCTCTTATTTTTCCCCTTTGCCCAGTGATGAAGATCAGTTTTAATTTAGTTTGTATGACAATTACTATTTCAGATTTAATAATAACTAACTACTGTTGAGCATTTACTGTGTGCCAGGCACTGTGCTGAACATTTGGCCTGAGTACTGTGAGGTGGTGTGTTCTTGTCCACATTCTAAATGTGACCTCACGTCTTCCATAACATAAGGCAATTACCACAATAAACTGAAATACTGTGGAAAGATCATTGTATTGATAATTCTCTGTCCCTGAAACCTATTCAGTACTGACACCTTACCATCTCCCTTATTCCCTCATCCCACCGTCACACACATAGATTCATCCGTACATACATACATTCATCCATTCGTTCATCCATTCATCCATCCATCCATCCATCCATTCTTTCCTTTAGTGAATACTGGAGGCACTGCTAAATCCAGGTGCCATTCTTGGCACACGGGACCTAGCAGTGAGCAAAACAAAGACCGCCTTCATGGAGCTTCGTTCTAGTTGGGAAGGTAAATGGTAAATGAATCTTAGGTCAGATGGTGACAGGTGCTATGAAGAAAAATGAAGCTACATGAAGGCAAGGTGGGAGAGAGTAAAGCGGAGGAGGGTGGTAGCAGTGGTGTCTGGGGTGGAGGGAGAGGGGGTGAGCTGTACCGTGTCTGAGAGGAGGGTACACCCAGCAGAGGGCGTTGCCGGGGCAGAGACACTGGAATGGGACTTTGTGTGTGTCCACGGCACAGGAAAGACAAGGAGGTCGAGAACGTTCATTCACAAAAGGAATGCGTGTAGACATTTGACTAATAGTTTTTAATGTTTGTATTTATCTTTTTAGGCCTTGAAACTATAATTGGGACACCAAGATATTCTCAGGCACAGCCCCCAATATCACCAGGCGGCCCATTGTAAAGACCTGTCTCCTCTCACTCTCTTACCCTCTAACCTCCTTTCTTCCAATCCGAAGGGACTGCCCTCCGCAGGAAATCATTCTGTCTTAGTCTGACCTGTCCTCACCTTTTTTTCTCTTGTCCATCATTAAATTTTGTGAATTAAAAAACTATGCCGAGGATCCTTAATTAGCTTTGGGCAGCTCTTTTAGCATGCAGGTCAGCTTGAAAAATTGAAATGTTTATGGCCCCCTTTCTCTCCTTCATAAATCAGCTTTATTGAGCTTGAATTTACATACATAAAATGTACCCATAAAATGTATAGTTTGGCAAACACCTATGTGACCACTCCAATCAAGATAAAGAATGCTCCCACTACCCCAAAAAGAGGTCCCCTCATGCCGCTCTGCAGTGATTCCCCCTCCAGCTCCAGCAACCACTCATCTGCTTTGTATCACCATAGATTAGTTTTGCCTGTGTTCTAAAGTTTTCTAGAATGGAAGGATACGACATCACTCGTTGGCTTCTTGCACATTAGCATCTTGTGTTTGAGATTCACCCGTTTCATGCATCAGTAGTTTGTTCCTTTCTTATTGCCAAGTAGTAATCCATGGTAGGAATATACCACCATTTGTGTATCCATTCACCTGTTACTGGACATCTGACCCACTTTCTTTAAATTAAAAATTAAAATAGTTTGGGGTTCCCTACAAATAATGAATATTTATATGATAGATTACCTATTATGTTGATTTAAAGAAAATCAAAAAGAAATTTGACACTGCTTTATAGCCATGAAAACTTTAATACTTGTTTGAGAAGTGGCTTGTTGTGTTTTGTTGTGAACTTTATTGAAGCTAGACCAGCTACATGCAGACCTTGAGTTCCTCAGCACTGAAATTGTTCGGGTGTACCTTTCAGGATCTCTCCCCAAAAGTTCCATGTATTTCTTCATTCTCTAAATCCTTAATCACTAGCGTTCTTGTTCCATTTTGCTTTATAATTTCTTTTTATTCCATATTTTAATAGTTTAAATTCTTTATAATTTTGTTTATTAGTATGGAAGAATTTTTCAAGTACTTTACAATGCTAACTTTCTGTGTTTTGTTTTGTTTTGTTTTGTTTTGCGGTACGTGGGCCTCTCACTGCTGTGGCCTCTCCCGTTGCGGAGCACAGGCTCCGGACGCGCAGGCTCAGCAGCCATGGCTCACAGGCCCAGCCGCTCTGTGGCATGTGGGATCTTCCTGGACCAGGGCTCAAACCTGCGTCCCCTGCATCGGCAGGCGGACTCACAACCACTGCGCCACGAGGGAAGCCCACTTCCTGTGTTTTTACAGGCCACACCAAAATTATGAATGCCATTTATAAGATTTCTATGGGAAGTTACGGTAACTCTGAAGTAATCTGCCTGCAAAAATTTAAAATACTCAGTGTGTGATTTAGGAACTCCTAGTGGCTTACAGGGAGCCAGAATTTTACCAGACATGAGAACTGCATAGCCCCAGGGTGCTCAAGTTTTTTGTTTTGGCTTGGTTTTGGGTAAATCTTGTAAAATATATTTTGTTGTCTAATTATTATTATTTTACAGCTGAAGTTGGGCCTTTGCCATGTATTTAACATCCAAGTCCTAGGAGTCAAATGTTTGCTTCTTGCTATTCAATTAGAATGTTAGAAAGTATTATACATGAGCAATATCACATGTTTGTATCAGTTTAAATAATTAGCATTGGCAATGATATTATAATCCATAAACCTTAACAAATGACTGAGGGTTTCCTCCTGTTAAAATAATTACATGATAGAGACAGAAAGTAGATAAGTGGTTGCCAAGGGCTGGGTGAAGGAGAGAATAGGGAGTGAGTACCATTGGGTATAGGGTTTCGGAATGTTCTAAAATTTTATAGTGGTTATGCTTGTACAATTCTTTGAATACGCTAAAAAAAAACCAACAACAGTGAATTGTACATTTCAAAAGGGTGAATTTTATAGTATGCGAATTACATCTCAATAAGCTTTTATTTAAAATAATAATTACTATCATATGATTGATTTCAGCATGCCCTTCTCCATCTTGCCTGTGTAGATTGCTATTGTGAATAAGATATGTGTTTTCAAATTTGCACATAATTTTAAAAACTGGCACGGAGTTATTTTATAGTGTGACATTTGTTTTGTAATTTTGAGATAGTTGTGAGTTTTTTGGAAGGATCATCTGCCTCACAACTAGAGATGTAGTATCTCCACTTCTTTACTGAAAAACAAAATTATGCAGATTACAAATAAAAACAAACAAAAACACCTTGCTATCTCACTCTAAATTGAAGACAGCCTTACTGTGTAACGTCAGTTCCCAGAATAGCTATTTATTTTTTGCTTCAGCCTCTCAGGATACAAAGCAATGGAATTTGGCACTGGAGAGGGAAGGTCTAGTTGCTGTTGTTTTATTTTTATTATATTTGCGATATTTCTATCCTTTATCCTTCCTACTAGCCAGATTTCTATGCCTTGTCAGTTTTCCTTTGCATGTGTTTTTCTCCCTCCGCATTTCCATTGATACCACTGTAGCCCTAATGCTC